TCTCGCGTGGTCCCCCACCGCAATACTGACTAGACCCTACGGGGCTTGACTTTGGAGATCGAACGGGATCCAGTACGGTGCCCGTGGTATGGCCGTAGATGTTGGGACATAGTCGGCACTGGTATATATCCTTAAAGCTATAACAGCTAAGACCATTCCAAAGTGGCTGTCCATGGGAGCACTCGCTTCTTGAGAAGAGACCCAGAACGCCATTGCTCTCGAAGCTTCAGGCAACGATCGCTGCATTTTGGTTCTCGCCCAGCAGCGCTCGATGGTACGCATATGTGCTCACTCTCACGCCCGGCGGAGGCAGGTGGGGCCACGCTCTTCCACCTCTTCTTGGCGACTCTCACATGGCCCACAAGGGCGCGATGGAAGTTGATGCGCTTTCTGTCGTTCTCTTCGGCTTGCAAGCGTGTTGTAATGACTGTGCAGGTGTGCCTCAAAGCGCATACAATTGTGTGGGAGGCGTCGCATATGTCAGACAGACAGAATACAGTAAGAGAGTGCTCTCGATGGGATACGGTACGGGAAGGTGGTCGACGGGCGTCAAGAGGAGGGTTCGATGGCTCAAGCAGAAAGGTTTTCAATCTGTGCCGCGCCATTTGAACATGAGTGATCGCTTCACGCTTGAAAAGCACCTTCAGTGTCCAACTGATCGGCGGCCTTTTCAAACGCTTCCTTCGCTGCCTTGCAGTGCGTCTCGCCCCCAGCTTCGTCGATGGCGAAACAAAGGAAAAGCGTGTCTGCAGCATTTCCGACAACGTCGGCGCAGAGTCTCAGCGTCCAGTAAGAGACGAGTGCGCAGAGAAGGCCAACGAGGGGCGCGTCGGCAGGCACATGGAGGTTGTGTGCTGAGAATAAAAATCCCGCGAGACCGCTGAGCAACGAGAGGGAGAGTGTGAAGAGATCCAGCATGAGATGGATGATCAGGCCTGTGGGAAGTGTGCAGAAGGTGAGCGTCAGTCACGTGTTCAGCGGAAGATCCGATCCGCATAGCAAATTCACCATCCATGACCCCTTTCACAGAGACACCCCTTGCAACCCTGCCGGCTCTTCTGGTAGAAGACCAGAAAGGCTCGTTAGTGATGCCGGTGTAGACGAGTGCAAAGTCGCTGACACCTTTGAGCACGGCCGATAGCCCAGCGAGCATAGCTGCAGCGTGCGCTAGAGGGCTCAAAAGCGCGGGGACACGAGGGTATGCAAGCTTTCGAGATGCACTGCGAGCGGTTGCAGCGATCAAGGCCGCAAGGCGTGCGAGTGAGAGGACAAGGGCTGCGAAGAGCACAGTTCCAAGAGCCGGGCCCGTTGCGCGAGCAAAGGATGCGCGAACTATGTCGACTTGCGTGGGCGGCGGTGGATTGGCGGGATCGGCGAACCCCGGCGCTGCCAACCAATCACCAGGTGCTGGACCGGGTATAGATTCTTCGTCATAGTATACGTCATTTTGTGAATCTTGCTCTCTCTCATCTTCCGACTCTTCGCGGTGAAAATACCAATGAGAAACGACACCGGCAACAGTAACTCTTTGGACTCCTCGTAGCGCTGCCCATGTCCAGAGCCACGCACCCAGTGTCGTCCAAGCCATCCACTTTGCGCTCGCATCAGTGTGCCACACCTTGTCCACGCCTGCGACGCTCTTACCCAATCGTCCAAAGTGGCCGATCAGGAAAAGACGTGCAAAGATGCTGATCATGGGCACGCTGAGAAGAAGAAAGACGCCTAGTTGCGCCAGTGAGAGTATCAACAAGGCCGGATGGGACGCGACGACGCGCGAAGAGAGCTCCAAGACAGCTGTAGTGCGAGAGAGGGCAAAGCGACGCTTCCACACTCCGCGCGCGAAGCATACAGCGGCAAGAACCGGGACCAAGGAAAGGAAGCGAAGTCTAGCACAAGCAAAGCACTGGTACCGTCAGCGTCCGCAGTGTATCAATTCATCGCAACTCAAACGGACACTCACCCCACCGTGCTCCAAGCACCACCGCTCCATTTCTCGTCGTCGTAGATGAAGCTGCCGGCGAAGGCCCACGCCCAGCCGAGTGTTAAGCACAGAGGAATACCCACCAGGCCGGATTTCAGAAAGTGAGACCCGCCGATCCGAGCGACCTGGCGAAGCGCGAAAAGATTGGCTACGGCTGCGCCGACTGAAAGAAGGGCCATCAGAAAAAGCATTGGTACTGAGCGGGTCAAGGTGAAGTATGGCGATGGTCGGTTGGGTGAACCTGACGATGAGCCCTCCGACTGATGCGCGAAAGGTGGGGGTAGCACAGGTGGAGCACTGCTTCAGCTCCACGTTCGCCCTTTGAAGCGCCGTTACGGATACTCACTGGTGCGCCGATTGCTGCGCCTCCCGCGATGACAACAGTGAACAGCATGACAAGTACCCAAGCCAACAGTGCACCCTTGTCTTTCCACTCTCTCCACTGCGCTGTGTTTCCGGTCGCCCAGGGTGTCCAGCCACTCTTCGCAGGTGGGTGTGGATAAGCATAGATGTCAGCCGCGACTTGCCGCGTCGTAGAGCCTCTAAACGCTCCAGGCAAAGGCAGAGGAAGTGATCCCGACGGGCTAGATGATGCCATTTCGGAAGACAGCAGGGGCTCTCGTAAGGAAGAGTGCTCCACACTGTGTCCATGCGGACCTTGACGTTCCAGCTCGGACTCCCTCGCCTCGCCACTGCGGATCTGGGGAGAAGAGACAGTCGAAGAAGTGAGGGCATCGCTGGACGAATCGTCAGCCGATGACTCCCTGTGACTGCTGCCAAAGGGGCCTGATGGTCTCCTTTCGAAGCCCGAGCTGCGCGGGGCTTCATCGGCCGATGTGCTGGATGAGGCTTCGTCTGGATCGCGATAAATGTCATCTCCTGCCAAGCCTCTGCCTAAGGCGCGAGCCGATGCAGGCACTCGCCTGGAGCCTTTTGGGTCCGGGACGCTGCTGACCGCGTGGTGGAGGGGCGCTGCGATGCTGGACTCGGCGTGCGCAAGCCAACCTCGAGCTCTGTGGTGTGCCTGATTGGTTGGCACGTCGCGTCGCTTCTTGGTCGAAGTCGAAGAGTTCGTCTTCTTTCCGCCTTTGTCTTCCGCATTCTGCACTGCATCTTCTCTTAGAAAGGGATCCCCCTCGTCGGCCTCGTCGAACCCCTGGAAGCCCGCTATCCGCGAAGCACTGACAGAAGCGCTGGGTGTATCTCCATCCTCCTCACCGTAGCCCCCGACCCGCGCTTGGCGGTCATTCAAGTGGGGTAGCAAACGATGATGCCGGCGCCACTCTGCTGCATCTGCTTCCACCTCCTCCTCTTCATCTTGACGCTGATCCACATCCACCTCGGCAATGTCGTGGGCCGACAAGAAATCTCCGCGCGATGCTCCAGTCGGTGCGTGTCGCTTGCTCGACCTCGCGCCGCCCTGGATGTGTGCGCTAGCGAGGCCATATCGACTTGCGCCCATCAGGTTCAGCGACGCTCCGCTCTCACCTCGAAGGACCTGTGAAACGTTCCCAGCAGCTCGACGTGGGCCGTACGCATACCCGTGTTGCTCGTCGGGCAAGCCGTCAGAGTTGGTGGAAGCATCGAGACTAGACTGGCTGCTCGCCGAGGCCATGAATGCTTCGGCGCCGTGTCCACCACCTGCTCGAGCGAGCTGATATGGATCGCCGGTGGACAAACCACCGCCGTTTGACAGGAATCGCGAGGCGTAGGCTGAAAACGTTGTCATGACTGCTAGCTGCGGTCAAGCTTGACTTTGTATTGAGCAAGTGGTAGTAGATGCGAGAGAGCGCAGCCAAGGGAGTCGAGTGCGCGCTCGCGATGTTGCGTGTGGGGAACTTTGAAATGCTGAAGCGTAGCCCCTCCAATGGGCAAGTGTGAGAAGTGGTGGTGTGAGTGTGAGTGTGAGTATGAGTGTGAGCGTGAGGGCGGGTGCAAGGGATCGTGTGATTGTGCCTGCTGCGCAGGTGGCTGGGCGAGTCACGTCAAGGGTGGATGGATGGAGGTGGAGAGCTGAGGCTAGATCAGCTGAATCACGCTTGAATTGCTGTGCAGCTGCAGCAGCAGCAGCGGCGCAAACCTGCTGCATGGGATGCTCATACTGTACCGGTACTGACGACTTGCTGCGCACGTATGGCGCACCCTCGGCTGCATGCATCAGCTGGCGATACCGGTGCGGTATATTCACGATTGCTGGTACTCACCACTCACCACTCACCACTCACCACTCACGCGACTACTGTACGGTAGGTATATCGCGCCCAGTGATCACAACCCTCACAACAGTCACGCGCGTGCACCGTACATAGCTCGCGCGCATGGTCCCGCCCTGTAGCTGTGCGGTACAGAGGATGACACGCGATAGCTGTAGAGGATGCTAACACGCGATCGATAAGGCAGGACGCGCACGCCCTCGGCGCCACATCGCAATCATCGTATACCGATACTTGCACATGCACGGCAGCAGCTCGACGGTCCGCACCCTAGCTCCCCGCTTGCATATGCTGATGCTGATGCTGATGCTGATGAGACTCGTCAGACTCAAGACTCTTGACTCACCCCACCGCGATAACCGGGCTACGGTCGACAGTCACGTGAGTACACGCATGACTCTGGACTCTGCGTGTACTCACGACTCAAGACTCAAACTCAAACTGCTCTTGATTGCGATGCGGGAATGTGCGGTAGGTGCAGTCAATCAGAAGTCATGTATACAATCATGAATTGGAGCGCACACCTCTCCCAGCAGGCACAATCGACGCTCGTGACATCGTCAGGGGCGACTGCACAACGCAAATCGTGACGAGCACGGCAGCGAGGCAGTCATGGTGCTGCCTCGCTCAAGGCGCAAGAAAGGAGAAAGTACAATGGCCTGGCCACGCGGTGGCGTCAGCGCGTTGCAAAGCCCCATCATTCCCGTCCGTTCCTCCTGACGAACTTCTTTAGCCAGATTCGCTCCCAAACGTCGCAGAAGTCGACATTGCAAAGGGATCCATGGTTTGATGGTGCGCACGTCGAGAAGGGCGTGACGCTACTCAAAATTCATACATATGCTGTGACCGACGAAGGACTTGTGAAACCGGACTACTCTGGCATCTACGACGGCGCTCATAGTACTGCCAGCGTAGTGTTCCTTCAGGCAACACTGGCGACAAGTATTCTCAGAAGAAGCTCCTGCCAAAAGTGCCGCTCTCTCTATTGTTGGGCGTGGGACTGACCTCGAGGACCTGTGAATGGGCACGAGATATATCAGCTGGCGCTGAGGATGATGGACATGCTCGGAGGCCAAGCTCGAGACGGACCATTTTGACTTACAGAGTAGTGAATCAGGTTCAGAGCTTTGAGTGCGCTCTTCTGATGGATGACACACGAAATGTTGATCTCGTTCGCTCCTTGCGAGATCATTTCAATGTTGATGTTGCCTTCCGCTAGCGTGCTGAACATTTTGCCAGCCACGCCCACCATGTGCCTCATCTGCGTTCCGACCAGACTCAGAATAGCCATCTCCCTTAACACGCTCACGGTCCCCAAGCTTGCAAGCTCCGACTTGACTCGGTCTAGAGCTCGGGGCCGTTTGAGGCCAGGTTGTCCAGATGCCAAAGCCATCGATACGTGGACTTCAGACGTGGAGATCAGGTCCACGACGATGCCGTGCTTGTCCAGCGTTGAGAATATACGCGCAAAAAAGCCATGCGAGAGCGTCTTCCTATTTGAGTGCACATTTAGCACCCAGACGTCATCCTTGATAGTCACCGCAGTCGGCAATTTCCGAGCTGCCGGCGTAGCCGCTGGCACCAGCACATTGAACGGTGCGCCATCAGGCGACACGCCCCATGGCGTACTGCTTCCACTGGCGCTTGGAGTCTCTGGCTGCTTCAGCTTCGTGCCATCGCCGGACCCAGGGACAATCTCCTGGGCGGGAAATATGACGGTGCCAAGGCCCGTTGGATTCTCCACGTTCTTGATCCTGATGGGCACTCGACGCTTTATTGCTTGCTCCATCGTGAATGGATGTATGACCTCGCTACCGTAGTACGTCAGCTCCGATGCTTCCTCGGGCGTGATGGCAGGTATCAAGCGAGCAGTGGGCACTTTTCGAGGGTCTGCTGTAAAGACGCCGTCCACCTCTTTCCATATCTGGAGCTCTTCAGCTGCCAGACCCACGGCGCACAGAGCAGCACACAGGTCTGTGTAGCCTCGCCCGACCTGAGAAAGGAGCGAGCCGGGAACATTGCCAAAGTAGCCTGATGAAGGATAGCGGCAGAGAGGGTCGTGAGCATTTGAAATCTCGCTGCGATGCAACAGCAAGCAGAGATCCTGTGCAGCGCTCACCAGTGATGACCGGCGTGGCATTCGCTTGGCTCACGCGCTCCCCGATCCTTGCGGCCAGCAGCTCGTAGAAGCTCTGCTCCAGGGCGCCCTCCGCTTGGACAGATGTACCAGTGCCTCGCTGCGACAGCTCCTCCAGAAAAGCGGCGTCGATGATGGTTTCAAGACCGATGAGCTCGGCGGGCACGCCAGCATCGCCGAGAGCTCCGACCATCAGTCTGCATGAAAGCCTCTCGCCGACGGAGAGGATCATATCCTTCGACCTTGGCGAGACTTCCTCGATGATCTGGCGTGAGCGTGAGCGCCATACAGCGAGGCGAGCGATCGAGTGACCAGGCGAGTGAGTGAAAGGGTGGTTCAGCGGTGCATTTATCCGGCCGATGCACCACTCCGCACATCGCTCACCTTTGCGGCCAACAGCAGATCCCGCAACCTTTCGCAGTCGTCTTGTATGTCCAGCTCCAGTTGCTCCAACGCTGCCGCATCCTTCGTCACTATCAATCTCGCCGCGTCGATGTGCTCCCTCATGATGCGATCCACAGTCTTGTCGCTCGAGCTCTGCGTCGCTTGTGATAACGTTTCCAGAGACGTGGCCTGCAAGCCGGCAGTGACGCCTTGCAAGTCGGCAGGTGTGCGCACACCCGTTTTGGACGAGTTTCTGCTCAAGCTCGCTCTGCCGTCTCTCGCTGAGCTCAAGCTGGCGACTGAGCTGGACAAGCTGGCTTCAGGAGTATCGTCCTCGGCACTCAGCGCTTGTTCGGCAGCTGCCAAAAGCAAGCTCGTCGTTCCTCCAGCTTTCGTGCCCGTCGACCTAGCGCTGCAGACGATAGCCAGCCTATTGCGTCGGAGAAATTCGGGCGCAATGGTGCGAGATATGGTAGGCAAGAATTTGCCTACCGAGGTGCCGCCGTACTTTTGCACGATCCAAGGTCGGTTGGAGGCATTGTTCTTGGCAATGGCTGCAGTCGTAGCTGTGCCAGCAGCGATGCCGTCAAGAGCGTCGAGATGCGGTGCCGATGCCAGATATTGCCTCGAATTTGTAGTGGGTGTACGCGAGTACTCTGTCTGGCTCTCGCACTCGGCGGACGGGGAGGAGCTGGCCGTGCTGGCCGACACGCTAGTGCCAGCGCTGGGCGTGATGGGGACTGGAGCAGTGGAGGGCATCGTGGGACCAGAGGCGGTCGAGTTGTGGATCGTTGTGCTGGAGCAGCCTTCGGCTCACAAGTCTGAGCTGCTAGATGGGGGCGGGTCAAGATGCCAGCGATCGCTATGGCGAGATGCTCAAAGCAGTGACCCACGAGGAGCAAAGTTACGAGATGACGCTACTCACGCTGTTCGCGCGCGCTCAAGTCCAAATCTCTCACGATCTTCTCACGTCGGCGTGACTCGGCAAATCGACTCAAGACTCTCAAAACCCTGCACGGACGGGGCGCGCAAACACGTGACCCGAGCCAACAAGATGCCGGCGCAGAAGTGAAAAGATGCTGCTTTGACGGTGCGGTAACAATCACGGATCGTACATCGCAGGATCTTGGTCAATCATCAACAATCACAATCCTGAACAGCGATAGCAGGCTCATCGTCGACGTCAACGACGCATGAAGCAGAGAAGCGTGTGATTCGGTTCCTGTAGTTCATCGCGCACTCTTTCTCGATATGGCTTGCATCGTCTTGCAAGCCGCAGAACGCGCGCCACCGAGTTGGTGCGAAAGTGCTGTACTGACAGAGGCAAGGCATCGTCGCCGTACATGGGAGTGCATGGGTAGTGGTGCATCTGACTCGCGTCAGAAGCGCAGAGGCCCTGCACCATACAACAAATATCAAGTTGCATTGCGAGCTGACTGATGGCTTTGCGCAGGCCATCAGGCCGCTGACCCAATCACCCTTCTCAGCCTTGCTGCTCTGCATTATCCTCATAACTGCTCGATTTGTGTTTGGACTGGAAAGTGAATTCTGACGGTGATCTGCCCACTGCAAGGTGGGGAGAAAGGATGTGAGCCGAACGTTGCGATTGATTCTTGGTCGTCAAGTGGCGAAGAGGAGCCACTCACGGAACATCTCGCTCAACCTCACCCAATCGGATGCTCGGGTTGAGGCGAGTAGCGTCTCCAGCTCATCTCGACCCTTGTAAGCTGGCGGCCTGTCATTGAGCTTGGCAGGCAAGCTCTCTAGGAGTCCTACAGGTATATATCTGCACGTGAAAGACAAGTACTACCGCGGAAGAGATCGCCCGTGCGTAAGCGCAGGACGTCAACACGCTGCGGCGCAAGCCAGGAAAGCGGGATGAGTCTCACCTCGCATAAATAACGCCTACAGGTGTTGACACCTTGTGTATCCGACCCCCAGTGAGTCAACCCCCATTCAGCGTACTGTCGCACTAGGTCAAGTCTCTCGCGACTACTGATGTCCCAGTCGCGCTTCTCTTTAACTTCGGTGCTGACACAGGGAGATCATGGGGGAGTCAGGTGACGTGGAGTCAGGTGAGCTACGAAATCGTGTACACGCACGCTCAAAACACTCACAAGACCCACGGCTAGACAGCACATCGAGCGAAGGTCAGCGGTCTCGTCAGTCTGCGCCCAACCGACGGGCTGACATCTGCATCTGCGTACCTTCACCAAAGCACCGCGCGCAAACATTTCGCCGTCGACTCCAGAAATGTCCAACGTTTCGTAGTAGCGACGCCAGTCGTAGACATCTCCGTTGCCATAGATGGGAATTGGCAGCATCTGACCGCAAGCTGCATGGTCAGACATCGCGTGTCCTCAACTGACCTTCTCGAGCTCGTCAAGAAAAGCTCACCTCCTCTTCGTCTGCAGTGCGTGCTTCCTCATTATGAGCATGGAGAGAGTCTCGATATGCCTTGACACACTCCCCGATGTACTCCCATGAAGCCTGAGAGCATAAAATATCAGTAAGTGGATCGAGAGTGCCCATGCCGTGTGTATCAAGCGCACCTCGTTCTTGTACCGCTGCTTTCTGCTGCGCCCGTGCAAAGTGGCAGCGCCCACTCCGAAGTCTGCCTGCAGACGCGGAAAGACTTTGTGGACTGTACGCGTGGCCGACGTGCCCGTGCGCAATTTAACCGTGACAGGTATCTCGCCCATCACTGCAGAGACACCTCGCGCGATTTTACCCATGCGGTTGACACTGTCGAGCAAGGCGGAGCCTGCGCCACGGTTGTAAATCAGGTCGATAGGGCATCCGCAATTTATCTGCTCGCACGAGCAGGGTGAGCACGTCTTCAGCCCGGCGATGTGTGGCCCTTGTACACCCAAACTCACATCTACAAAATCGAGTCCATCTCCGACTTCTGTGGCTAAAGCTTCTGCGGCCGAGATCATCGTATTGACTCTGCCACCACAGAGCTGCGTGTGTTGGGCATGTAAAGATCAGCAGAAGCACAAAGCCTCGCCGTCGAACTGATCACGCACCTGAGTGCCAAAGATTCGCTCTCCTTCCCACCTTCTAACCAAACTCCATTCGCTAGCCGACCCTTGCATGTAGCTCTCTGAAAGTCCCATTTCTCCACAAGTTATGTCAGCGCCCAAAGTTGTGCACATACGGCGGAAAGGCAAGTTGCCCGTGGTCGTGAGCGGGGCTAGGTCTATGCAATGCGAGAAGGCTGGGGTCAGATGTTGTGGCAGCTCCGCTTCGTTATGATGTTACTCACAAAGCTCGCCTTTCCATTGCAATCTTCGCTTTTCGGGTGGCCGAATGCGCGCAGAATCCAGCTGACCTATGGTACTTCCGCTGATTTCGGCGTCATGCAGCCTCCGCCCCGTCGCTGCCGAGAGTGCATGAAGATCGGACGAAGCACCCGCAGAGTTCTCTAGCTCTTCAAAATCAATTCGGGCGGAAGCCGTTCCCGGTTCGTTCTGTATATCGAGCTGCTTGGTGGGGTGCGATTGCGCCTGCTCAGAAGCATACGCTCTTCGAGCTGCCTGAGCATCGAAAATGACTCGACCTGACGCTTGAACGTTGGGAGGATCCTTGTCGAGTATGGCGGTGGCTGCGCGAGTGAGTGGGAGTGGATACTGCAACGGGCGCGGAAGCTCAGCGAAAGACCAAAGGCGCTGACACAACCTCGGCGTGTACACGGCGCTGCAGTACCGTGCCGCTCACCTTTTTGCGAGACAAAGCGCGAATGCTGTCTGGGTCCGGATAGTTTCGCTCGTCAGGTGCTACTCGCGCCTTGCCCTTGTCTGCCGTTGCGTGCGCATCGGGCCCGAAGCGCAGCAGAGCGAGCCCTTCCAAGTTGTCTAGGGCTGAAAGTGATCGTCCCCCTACTTCGCGAGAGACGTGAGCGCCCAAAAAGCGGCACTTCCACCCTGCAGGACATGTGTCAGTACTGCTGCCGGATGCCCCTCTGGCTCGATGCGCATCGAAGGAAGGGCAGCGAGTCTGGTTGGACAAGGTGTCGTCTATATCTCTGGCAGCAGCCCGAGGAGCGTCCTCATCTTTTGGCTCGTCCGCCATTTCCCCAGCACCTACAGGCCAGCGAACAAAGGGAGGTGTGGTGGTGTAGAGCGCATCGAGGTACGCCAGCTGCTCGTGCGGCTCAAGCCCCACAAGACTGGAAGACGCTTGCGGCTGGCGTGGAAAATGGAGGTCACGGGGTTTGGTGAGCAGGTAGCCCTTGATGTCGTGGCTGAACTTGCAACTGCAGCAGCAGCATAGATGAGCGGTGATGTGTCAGAGTGCCCCTGGTGGTCGAAATGGCTCGCTGTGGCCGTGGCCGTGACCGGGGTGTTGCGTGACGCACCTGTGTTCGTTCGTGCAAGCAGCACCTCTGGCAGCAGCGTGACAAATTCCCTTGGCGTCTGTCACCCTGCCAAACTTTCTGCCCTTGTTCTGTTTGCCGCCTGACCCGCCTTGAGCTGCTGCAGCCCTCTTCGCTTTCTTCCTTGCAGCGCCTTTGAGCTTCTTCGAAGGAGCCTCGCCGTCTCCCCTTGCTTCTCCAGCGCGAGCGTGGCCAGCCACAGCTCCCGCGGCTTCAGCAGCATCATCCGCTTCCTCCGCATCGTGCTGATCGTGCTCTACGCCTTGAGCACCTTGACCAGCTTCTGCACGCACGCGCTCATGCTGGCCGGTTTGGCCTGGATTGATCTGCACCAGATACTCTGCTCGGATCGGTGCAATGCCCGCTTGACGCGCAGTGTTGCTCTCTGCTTGGATAGCAGGAGCAGAAAGATCGGATGCGTCAGGCTGGACGAGATGCCCACCGGTGCTCGGACCACTGTGACTCTGCATGGTGAACGATGTGCGACGGGCGAGACTGTTGGCTTTACGCTTTATCAGGAATGGGGCTTCGAATGGTCCCTTGCGCGAGAGCCGGGAGCACTGCCGCTGAGAGCGTATCTGATGAGGGGCAGGACCGTCCGTGACACTCTGGCCTTGACTTGGGGGAGCGTTGTGCAGAGAGAGCGTCTCTTGCCATCCATTCACATTCTCGATCGGTGTTCAAGTTCATGGCGCAGATCAGCATGAACAATTTTGAATTTGAATCCCTGGTGCGCTTCTCATCGAGAGCAATCACGTGATAAGGGCCGCTTCTCACGTGCGGCAGCTGTCTGTGGGTTTTGAGCTCAAGTCACGCCAAAGGACCCTGATGTATATGTACAGTATGTACACGCACAGCCAGCACTTGCATGCACGCATCCACGCTGAGCAGCAGGATGATGGATGCTGAGTGCAGCATGCATGCAGGGTTATCTGCACTCGATGAATCTAGACTGGCAGAGAGCTTCACCCAAAATTGGTCGATGCTGACCACAGTCTTGAGAAGTACCGCGCGTGCTAAATGTGCTGCTGCTGCTGCTGCCGCGCGCGCGTGCATCATCAGCAATGATCAATCACGTGAATTAAAAACATCGCGATTTTGCACCCCCCGGGCGACAGGTGCTGCGCCTGACACGCGTCTGATGCTGCCCATGCATGGCGTGGGTCCCTGACTCGAATGCGGGCCGCATATGAGCTTTGCGTCGCGCGCGCTCGAGATTGAAGGAGCACTATAACCCACAGAATTTTGAAGGGGCGCCCGTGCACGGATAGGATGGCTGCCTGCTGCTGCATGCATGCTCTGCTCTGCTCTGCTCTGCGCTGCCGTTGCCATCTGCCGTACACGCGCGCACCGCGTTCGCTGTCTTGGGCCGCCTGTATATAGCGTGCAGCATGCATGCATTCATGCTGCAGACGCGCGTGGGCACAGCAGATGCACCGCCTCTAGAGAGACGAGACTGTCAAAGTCAGACGTACGGGCGCTATGGCTGGTGCGCGACTGGCTGCTAGCTGCTAGCTGCTGCGTGACTCATCAATGACTGTACAAGCTACGCGCAGCCGTCGTGAGTCGGGTGGGCGCACGGGTGGAGCGAATGGCAATCTACAGTGTACACCCGCTCAGCTCTCGACGATCGCGCACCACCTGCCCTCACGCCACCACCTCCCTTGCAAGCACCAACTTAACCGCTTGATTCCCGCACCTGAGCGCATCGACTCAAGCGCGAGAGTAAGCGACCCAACCATAGAATCGAAGAAAGCGAACGTTCACCCGCGACATTCGCTTCTGAATCCAACTGGGACTTGGCAGAACAGCGAGTCGCCAATCATGAGGTCCAAGTTTAAGGATGAGCATCCGTTTGGTGCGTCACGAGCAATTTGCTTTGGACACAGGCCATTGATTGGGGTGAATGCGCGTTGAAGACTTACGTGCTGATGCTCTTTCCCCATCTTTTCGCACCTTGGCCGTCCCTATCCATTGCCACGCTCTGCTGCGTCTCGCCAATCTCGATCATCTCTGCTACCTGATGCTCTCGACCGATCTCTCTCCCTCTTTTATGTGCTTGAACAGAGAAACGCAAAGCTGAGGCAGAGCGAATCAGGCAGAAGTACCCTGACAGAATCCCTGTGAGTGGCCAGGCGGGCGGAAACGGGCGATTCGTCATGGCTTGGCGGTCGTGAGAGGGGCATACAGGTCATAAACGCAGATGGTGCCTGTCTGGGATGATCTTGTTGATCGGAAGGATGGGGATGCGCGCTCCATCGCCAGGCCAGGCCGCATGTGGAGTGCTGTTAAGCGGTCCCGCTGCGTCCGAATGAGCGGCCGCTTGGTCCGTCGCTGCAAGCCAAATGTGTGGGGAGTCGCAAGGTGGGAGGAGTCTTTACATGGCTCCAAGCGTGACTAGATCAGGTGATTGTTGCACCGTCCGCGAACGGCACGTGTGCGGTTGCACTCGTTGCGCTGAAGGGAAAAGGCAACAAATTGTGGACAACGCGGTTCAAGGGGGGTTCCGACATTTGCTGCTGCTTCAACATTCTCCAAGCTCAGTTGCTTCCTGCATCCGTGCTCAATCGTACTGAGTTATTTTTTGCGACGCGCAGGTTATTTGCGAAAAGGCAGACAGGACAGACATTCCAACCATCGACAAGAAGAAGTATCTCGTGCCTTCCGATCTGACTGTCGGCCAGTTCGTCTACGTCATTCGCAAGCGGATCAAGCTGGCTCCAGAGAAGGCCATCTTCATCTTCGTGGACGAGGTTCTGCCCGCAACCGCAGCCCTCATGAGCGCGATCTACGAGGAGCACAAGGACGAGGATGGGTTTCTTTGTGAGGATTCCCTTTTTTCTCGTAATCTTACAGTTGTCCTCGTTGCTCATCCTTTGATACTGATCGACGGTCACGCAGACATCCAGTACAGTGGGGAGAACACATTCGGTCTCATCTAGGGCATTGCGCCGCATTCGACCTATCGCCAATCGACCTGGCCTCGTTGCCGATGCATACCGCCGACGCTTCGCTCGGTCGCATTTGACGATCGAAGAACTGCGCTTGCGCTCGCTTTGTAACAACACTCTTACGCCCTTTGAATCGTCATGTAGTTGAAGACAGCGAGTGCATAGTTGGATGAGGCGCGTACACCTGCAAAGCGGGTCACACGACCACGCAAAGTCTGTGACAGAAGGAGTGGAAGCATCAAGTCATTCGTGTGGCTTGCAGGCGCGCTCCCTAGAAGACGAGGCCTGCAACGGTGCCGGCCAGCAATGTAAGGTACAAGCTTTCGAGCGAACACGTTGCAAACTCATTCCGCGGGTCGTCGCCAGCAGACACACAGCAATAGAATACCTCCCAACCTGCGCAAATCATTTGCATTTTTCATTTCATCAGATACAGGCGAAGCGCACCGGCTCATCGGACGTGGCGCTCCATGAACTCCAAAGCAATGCGACGTGCACACCATTCATTCATCTCGACTTTGCACAGGCACAGGCGCGCGGTGCTGATGATGACCTTCGAAGTTCACCCGCGACATAAAGAGTTGGCGGCTTGGCGTACATCAGTCGGAAGGGCGCATATGAGCAGTCCTTCTCTATCTCATTCGCCGCAGCGTTCGTGCGTCCGAAAGCTGGTCCCACTTGCACGTACAGTAAGCCTGGTCCACACACCTGGGCAGACTGTATAACTGCAATCAAAGCGCAGGATCGGAAAGACAGCGCTGATGGCTGACTCAGAACCTTGTGCGCGGCCCCCCTCGGCTACGGCTGGTTTGAACTGTGTTATTGACTCGTGGCTCCTGACCACATGCTATCGAGAGCGTGAGGGAGTCAGGTGTCGCGTAGTCGATGTCTCTCAGCATGCTAATGCTTACGGACGGCACGTCGATAAGCGCTTGTGTTCATCGTATGTTCGATCACTCTGCAACTGTGTTCACGAGGAGCTATGGCAGAGACCGGGCTGGGATGTTGTCAAATGCAATTGAATGTGCTGCGCGTCACAAGTTAGACGCGGCGCCTACCACCTCATGTAAGGCTCAAGCAAGCGCTCGAAATCGGTGAAAAAGGAATATGAATTGAAGAGACTGAGATCACCGAACAAGCTGGGTGGTGTGGAAGGACCGCGGGTGAGAGCATTAAACCAAAGGCGCGCATAATGTGCAGCGGAATGCAGGCTGAGCAAGGAAAAGACTGATGATGGTGTCGCTGACCAAGTCCGACGATTGTGGATGAACGCAAACTTCGTCGTACAATGCCAACGACACGAAGGTAAGAACCCGGCTCGAGTGGCGTGTGGTGCCTGCTCGAGCACGGGAGAGACACGCGTCGCTGCTGCTGGTAGCGTGTTGGGGAGACGCTACGGTCCCCAATCAAGAAGCCAACTCGGGCCGGAACTCATGCCAAAGCAGCACCGACAAGCATCGCGCCAGCCACGAGGGCCATCGCTTGTGCTTGGTAGGAGTTGGGCCTGAGAGAGGATGCAGCATCCTGTCCGCCCGAAGCGTTCCCGGATCCACCCACAATCTGCGGGTCAGAGTGTTTCGAAGAGTGTCAGCAGCGCTTGTCCGCTTCGCCGCTTTCAGAGACGTGACGGGCGGTCGTGCACAAGCCACAATCAGGCTCGACGAACGCAACCGTATGACACCGGTATTGGTGGGACCAGTCGCGCATGCGGCGGCGTAGAGGGGAAGTGCACGGCATCCACGTCGAAGCGCCCAATCGCCTCGAGACGATGCAAAACACCAGTGACCAATCGGCATGCGTGCGCCCCAGAAGTCGCTGATGTGGCCTGCTTGTTTGAAGCGCGTGTGCCGATGGCGTGCCAGCTTGGCACGCAGAGCACGAGCCCTGTCGAACGACCGAGCACGCAACGCGACACAACTCACCTGGAGGTTTGAAGGATCTGGCTGAAAGGCAGCGGTGAATTGCGTGGGCTGTCCGTTGGCGGCGAGACTGGAGAAAAGGTTGCTGAGGCCTGTGCCCGTCAAGCTGCTAACAGGTGCAGAGTAGACGAAAGTGTATGGCGCTGAGGTGGGGCTCGGTCCGATGCCGCTGATGGTAGTGGGAGTGCGAGAGCCGGCCGACTCGAACGTGGTCACGGGCGTGAAGGTGGCCGGCAGCGTCACGGGATTGGTGGCGAAAGAGCTGCCATTGAGCGGATCAGTAGAAACCGATGGGGTGACTTGGGCCTACGCGCCACCATCCAGGGTCAGCATCGAGCAGACGAGAGGAAGGGCGCGAAGAGAAGGGATGTGAGCTTTGGAGCGTAGCGGCAGCCATGTTTGCGCAAGCACCGCGCTCCAGCCCGTTGCGATTCGATGTCATCGCGGCACTGCCAGACGCGCGTGCGCTATCGCGATCACACGATCCCTCTCTTCCACCTTTCACTCACCGCAGCGGCGGTCATGCCAGCAAGAACGAAAAAGACCTTGGCCCACATGGCGATGAACGAACGGGTCGTGGCAGACGAGGTGGGTGGGATGAGAGTGGACACGCTCCGCGCTGGTGTGCTCAACGCGCGGCTGTATGGACGAGAAGGCAATGTGTCTCGCAATGATTGCCTTTGTCGGTGGCGTCTGCGCTGCTATGGCTCGCGAGACGAGGTGGTGAGTGGTGGCAGTGGCTGAGATGGGCGAGCAGCGAGGGAAGATGTGAAGGGGAGGGAAGAGATGCTCGAATATGAAAGGAGACGGGCGAATGAAGGGAGGCAAGGTGTGGTGGGAGAGGCGGGGATGGTGGGGAAAGAGGAGTGAGTACAAGAAGACCTTTGGCTGTGAACCGGCTCAAGCTCAAAAGACTTTGGAGCGTGAGAGCGCGAGGGAGGCAAGGGTTGGTGGTTGGTTGTGCATGGCGGCGGCGGAAGCGTCACATGCGAGAGAGCATTCAATCGTGAATGAATGCGGAGAAAAGGTCGCTCGGCTCTACATCTCCCTTGCTTGGCACAGCGCCAGTCGATGAGTCGACTCAATCTTGTTCGGACAACGGCGGGGCAAGTCATCATTCGAGTCCTCCTTCTCCACTGGACTGCTGGGGGCAGGGTACAGTACCGTACAGTAAGTAGCAAAGCGTGAATCGCTGGGCGAGGCATCTCAGCAGCGTGCGTGACACCGTCTGGGGGGATGATGCATCATCGTTTCTGCTTGCATGTCGCGACGGTCTCGATGCTGCAGTCAGAGTGCACAGGCACCGCAGCGCACTCGTGACTCAGGACTCAGGACTGCTTGCGCGTGCATGAGTGAGTGGTGCGGAGTGAGTGCGTCATCGAATGTTTGTGGCAGTTCAGCACTCTTGCTTGAAATCAAGCTGCCCCGCACTCATGCGTCGCAGGAAATTAGTCCCGCTGCTGAAGAAAGTAGGCGGCGGGGCCCACATCACCAATCGTCTATCCACTCACGACGACTCGATCGACACTGACGACTGTAGCTGCTGCGCGAGCTCGCACCTCATTTGTGCGCGCGACCGGCTGGTGCGGCAAGGGTGCAAAGCAACGGCGGATGCGCGCGTCTAGGTGTAACTTTACTTTACCGTAGCGGTGCGCGCGGGACAGTCTTGAGTCCATATCGTCAGTCGCGAGTCACCAAGAGTACCAGTCACAATCAAAGTGAAGAGTAGTCGTCATGAAGTCACGTATCGGGAGTACAGTGGGGAGTAGAGGAGTCCTATCTGCGGCCAATGTAGAGGCAGTCGTGAGTGGGTGTGCATAGAGGTGTCCCAATCACGAAGGCTCGAATGGTGGCGTCGAAGTCTGTTGCGCTGCGTCCATTGCCTCAAATTCACCTTTCATATCGCTCGTCTAGTCATCCTGCCCACCCTATCGTGGCGCCGGCTGTCATTAGCAGCCACAAAATGGGAATGGTCTACAGTACGCGCTTGCGAAAAAGGGGCGCTATTGCGGCAAGTGATCGAGAGCGCGTTTCCTGACGGTGCTGTCGGTTGGGATAGTCGGCCTTGACTGTTCTCGAAGATTACAACGTGATGGACAGATTGACATCTGACTGGCTTGAATCTCTAGAGTGGAGGACAAGCTCGCCGTTTCTGCTCGACATGCCCCGGTCAAAGGACTGGCGCAGGGTTGCGGGAGCGTCTATGACTTGATTTGTATGAACGATCTTTGGTGGCGATCATTCGGCTGCCTCTGGACAATTCACAGACGTCTGACGGGAGAGCGCTGTTCACTTCCCGTCACCAGCACCTCTTGCCACACTCACGACTGCTCGGTACCGTCCTGAGCCCCTTGTTTGGCGGCTCGACAACTACAACTACATTGTTTCAAACGTCGTTTGTGGGACTCAAGAGTCAAGTATTTACCCGACGGTTGCATAGGCGTTCTTCCACTTCTGCTGCGATTTGTCTACGGTGAAGTCAGGACTCTACAGGCGTGTATACACCTTCATATTCATGATTCGGGACGCCCGTGCATCTTTGCAACTTTGCACACCAGCATTCGCCATTCGGCTTTAAAAATCTCGCGCGCGCCTCTCGTGGAACCTGGGAGAGTCACAAAGCCGTTTAATTGCTGAAGCTTAGCGCAGCCACAGCGACGCGATGACATCAAATCGTAGTCGTTGATTGGCGACAGCAAGGCCTACTCGCCCCCTGTCGTGAAGGTACGAATAATGACGTGAATCAAGAATGGATCACTCGCGTACATATATACCTGACTTCGAATGATTCACGATTGCAGCGGTGAATCTGGAATACATGTGGAATCACAACGGGGCCGAGGGGCGCGCAATACATCAGCAAGTATCGCCCTTCACGGCGGAGGTCTCCAGCCTTTACTTTTGATTCATTCAACACAACATATATGCGTCAGCATTCTTGATTCTAAATCACATTCACCAATTCAACGCATGCCGCATCCGTAGATACAGTCTGAGTACCAGTACATGCAATTCAATTCGATTCTCATGATTCACGATCGCTGTTGCGCTGGATGACGGATTGATGCGCTAGGATTTTGGTTTGGCTGAAACGCGCCGCGCTCCTTGTCATCCGGCCCACTCTGTCACCGCGTGGCATTTGCGTGCAATCAGAATGGAACAGACGGCGGGTGCAGCTGTTTGCGCGGCTCAACAGGGTACGGGTACGCTTTCGAGAATGACAAAGCAGTCGTGGGTCACAACTTGCTAGTTGCAGTAGTCACATAGGCGCGAGTATCGAGTCGCAAGTGACGGCGAGCACCGTCACGATCGGATGAAAGAGCACACACAACACATGCAGGTACCGTGACCATGAAGGCAAGGCAAGGCCCTTTGGTCACGTGCTATGACGCGGTAGTGACCCGACTCGACTTCTCAATCTCAATCAAATCACAAATTGACTCAAACTCATCAGACTCTATTCTGTCTGGACTCTTGACTCTTTGACGCAGCTGGTTGAACCACGATTTGAATGAATGGCTGCTGGCATGGCTGTTTGGCGCATTCACCTTGCAAGCTTCGCCAGGGATGCTCCAACTTCTTGCTTGCACCTCAAGATTGGATCCGCTTTCGTCCATTTGCTCTCACGCCAACACTCTCACCACACTCACGCTGAGCGTGTGACCACTCACGACTCACGCTGCCTCTCGCGCGGGCTTATCACACCATCATCTGCAGCTCCCCGAGCGTGCATCTGGTCTCAATCTACCTTCAGGGGCAAGGCGCCTGGAGCGGTGCGCCGGTCTCGACGCGATCCGTGCTAACGAGCGGTGGTCCGACGCGATCGATTTCCCATCATTCTTGGATCGGCCACGCAAGGCGCACCTCTTTCGCGCTCTGCTGCCTGGCCGGTGCAGCGAGAAGCGAGCATGGCGATGGCCACTCTGCTCGAGATGCCGGGCTGGCTAAGGGACGTGCTGGTGCTGTCAACGAGCGTCAAACTGCTATTGGTGCCGGCTTATCACAGCACAGACTTGGAGGTGCATCGCCATTGGCTCGCTCTCACCAAGACCCTGCCCGTCTCGCACTGGTACTTTGACACGACGTCGCAATGGACGCTCGATTATCCGCCCTTTTTCGCCTTCTTTGAGCGCATGCTCGCTCAAGTCATTGCACCGCTCGACGCTCGCATCGTCCACTTGCAGGAGGGTTTGCAGTACGCTTCTCCCCGAGCAATTTTCATCCTTCGACTCAGCGTCATGCTCACCGAGCTTGTCCTCGTCGGCGCACTGTGGGCGCTGGCCACTCCTAGCAGTGCGCAAAGCGGCAAGAGCTCTGAATCGGGCTTCGATTCAGCGTCTCGCTCTCCATCGAGCGCAAACACGGATCAAGACGCGCACGTCAAAGCTGAACAAGCCATCTCCCCGCTCGTCGCCGGCGCCATCTTACTCCACCCCGCACTCGTCATCGTGGACCACATCCACTTTCAGTACAACGGCTTCCTGACTGGCGTGTTGCTGTGGTCCATATGGGCCGCGAGAGAGGTGCGTGCAAAGGTGTGTCCTGCGGCAAATTCGTCCGGGTAGTGGCATACATGCCTGCGTTGGAGTCGGACATCCTCCTGATCCCCACAGCCCAAGCTGCGACTGGCATGGCTGACCCATCCTCACTCTGCAAACGTTGCTCCGTCAGCGTCGCCCTCTGCTCAGCGCCTTCCTCTTCTCCTCACTCTTGATGCTCAAGCACATCTACATCTATCTTGCTCCCGCTTACTTCATTTTTCTGCTTCGAACCTACGTTCTTCCTTCCTCCGTGACGATGGATGGACCGACCGGAGCTGGACCTGCATCCCGCCTCTTTACACTTGGCACCATTACCCTCATCCCACCTCTGGCTGCTATCCTACCCCTGCTGGCATCTGGTCTCACCACTTCAGCGCCAGCAGGACCTCTTGGCATCTTGAGGCAGATGATCGCGCGGCTGTTTCCCTTTCAAAGAGGACTCAATCACGCGTATTGGGCAGCCAACTTCTGGGCTCTTTATTCATTCGCGGATCGTGCTCTGCTTGCGACAGGCATGGCCACTTCATCCAAGATCACCGAAGCGGCACGCGCTTCCTCATCTCGAGGTCTGATCGGAGACACTACGTTCGGCGTCCTTCCCAACGTTTCAGCATCACACTGTCTGGTATTGACGGCTACTCCATTGCTGGTGCTTAGCAGCCGGCTATGGACACGACCCACGTATCTCAACTTCCTGACCGTGCTCATCTCCTCGGGTCTCACCAGCTTCATCTTCGGCTACCACGTCCACGAGAAGGCGATCCTATTACCTTTGCTCCCGCTAACCATGCTCGCACCAGTCAGCTACGTCCACGCCCGCCTCACCACGCTGCTCAGCATCGTCGGCATCTTTGGCCTCTTCCCTCTGCTCTACGATGCCAAAGAGACCCCTTTAAAATTGTTCTATACGCTTGCTTGGAGCTTCGTAGTTTTCGGCTCGATCCGTAAACAGGTGTACAGGCCCGTGCCGAGCAACCTCACTGCCATCGCGCACGTGCTTGAGAATGCCTACCTCCTCGGCTTCATCATCCTTCAGGTCTACACGAGTTTGCTGCATCCTGCCTTATTCACGCGAGAGCGACATCTGGAGCCGACAAAACAGAGTGGACCCGTCGGAACTGCTGCGGAGGCAATCACGAGCGCTGCAGATTCACTCGCCTCGGTCCTCGTTGCCCAGCCGTCGTCGCACGCCTCCTGGGTACAAGCTTCGCCTGCTGGCGACCCCCTCGCGTCGTTCTCAAGGGACGCATTCAGCGGTGATACCGCAACACCCTCGATGCGCTCAGACCTTTCTGCCACGGGTCTTGCGAGCCATGCAAGACCACTGGACAACGTTCGCAAGCTCGGCTCGAGCGGCACGCCAGATGTTCAGTTACACACACAGTACGAATTTCTCCCTCTGATGCTGATTAGCACCTACTGCGCGCTTGGAGTACTCTGGGTCTGGATTAGATTGGGTTGGAGTTTACTTTCTCAGCGGCCCCACAACCGTTCGCAAGCAGCGGAGGCTTCGCCAGCGAGCCACGCCGGAAAGCACCATCGTAAATGGTAAGGCGTCAACATTCTAACACTGCTACAGGCTAAAGTCGTGTCCTTTCGGGACGTAATGGCCTCATCAGCCCGACCGAGAAATGCAACGGCGGTTGGTGTCCTGGCAATTCGTCTCCAGACCGTCGCCAGCATCTGTCCGTTCCCCATCATTCAAATGCAACCCGATATCACTCGCGTGAACTAATGTGAAGTGGTGATTATCGACGCCATGAGACCACAAATCTTGCCGGCGCGTGCTGCTGCTTGCCCATTACCCAGCGAAGGTGCGTCGAGAATCATCTCCCACTGTCTCGGCCTCAGGCGTTGCTTGCCTGCCACTATCGCCCACAGTACTCTGGATGCCCTCGCGGGTTACTACGAAGTCCACCGTTGGTGATCCTGCCGGGCTGTGATGGCCAGCAGGGGCGTCCGGACTCAACAACAACGCCGCTTGGTGAAGACGCGTGCGCGCGCCACTCTGTTTGCCGTGACTTTGGTGACCACCAGTCTCGTGGCTGGGCCAGACAGCGACTAATGGGGTTGTGTCTTGGTCAGAGAGAGGGGGTGTGGCCTTTGAGGTGGTTGAAGGCACGGTTGTGAAGCGCCGGCTTTTGCTAAGGAACAACCTGACGTTAATGCTATTCGTCCATGACTGGCCAAGGCACGCAATCTTCAGGTCTGAGCACGCGCCCTCGAAGGAGTCATCCATCGCCTGTGTGGTGTCAGTATCTACTGACGTGGCCTGTGGTCGCTTTTGTTGTGGAGCATGTTGGCTTGGAGTGTGATTACCTGCTGTTGTGTTGCTTGAGCTTGTATACATCTCGGGATCGTGCCTTGTCGAGCTGCGTTCTCGACTGGTGGTGCGCTCAAGCTCGTCCGCGAAGGAAGTGCCTGAAGCGAATGCTCGATCCATCTGAGCACTTTTGACCACAGCACTCTGCGCTGTCTGCCGCTGCAAAGCGCGCCTCAACCGGCCAGATGTAGCCAGAAGACCCGAGTAAGGTGCAGACTGTATGCCATAGACAGTAGGAGGAAGTGCGACACTCACAAGCCCACCTGATTCACCGGCTTGCGATGCTTCGTGGGCTACGCAGGCGCTGGAACTGTCGAAACGATTCGGCAGCCGGCATTCGTTTTGGATGCATGCTTGCACGTACCTCAAAGCAATTTCCCGCTCCTTTTCGAATGCGTCCATGACGTGGTTCGAGACGACCACAGCGATGCCTGCAGCTGGTGCAAAAATATGGAAATCCGACGTTAACGCTCGTTGAGGGAATGATGGCGTTCGTGTGCCGAGGAGAGCAACTCTTTTCAACTGATCTGTGAGCTCTATCAGAGTTCGCGCACGCGTCACGATGTCGCGCATGCCTTTCGATGCAGAGGCTGCTGAGGCGGACAGAGCATCATTGCCGCTGAGGAGAATTGGAAGGTCGTCGATAATTATCAGCTTAAGAGGTGCTTGTAAGTGTCGAGGCCTTCGTGAATTTGGCGGGCTTTTGGAGAGCCGCTCAATCAGGCCAGGCAATGTGAATTGGACTGCGTGCGAGAGAGCATCAACGTCACCAATGCATGCGATGTGAACATTTTCCAGAATTCTTTGTCGAGCTGACTGAAGCATCGCGTCGGTTGGCTCGACGGGTGTTTGCGACGTCTCAGGAGCCTTGCTACTCGAAATGGACCCACGAGAGTCGCCAGGCGAATCCAGACTGTCATATCGGCGGCGTTTTGTGGCGCGATATGCACGTCGTCGAAGGCTCCGTCGCACCAGAGCGTCTCCTATTTCTGATAATCGTTTTACGATGGCGTACGCCCCAGCTCGTCCGTTCGGCGTCATGATCGCAACTCCGCCCGACAAGGCCCAAGGGTCTGCCTCGCCAGACTCGTCAGGGGGACCCAATGCAGTGGCCGCAGCAAGCTGCAACAACAGCTGTGTCTTCCCAGAGGAGCTGAGGAGCGCATACAAGCGATCAGCAACGCTTACATGGTTGCATTGCGAGGATCATGCGCTGCATACAAGGGACCAACGAGATGCTCACCTTTCGCCCACCACTTCGGTGAGCATACCGCAGCGAACGCCACCCCCGAGCAGGTCGTCCAGCGTGTCGTCTCCCACGCTCAGGCGGTCGCCCTCAAGTCCTCGCCTAGCTGCGGTGCTCCTGCTCTGCTCTTGTGTCCCAACCTCGGAACTTGCTTGTTCACTTTCCCCAGCTCGATTTGCGTGCTCCCATTCGTGCCCTTCTGAGCGCAGCACCGCAGCACAAGTCCTTGATTTTGGGGCGAGGTGGTGGGCTGCTTCATTCACGATGCTCTCGATTTGCCTTGCTGACAAGGGCTTGCCCGAGCTCGAGCTCGATCCTACGCGAGCGCCAGCGGTGGATCGACGACCTCCGCTGCTGGCGTGCTTCAGCTTTGACTGCACCTGGGACAAGGGAGTCAAGAGCAATTCCGTCTCTAGCTCGTAGCCCGCCCTTTGAAGTGCGCTGTAGTACGTAGGCGGTAATGGCAGGTCGCTAAGATGAAGAGGGAACATAATGATGCCTTGACAGGTCGCTCTGCGTGACGACGCCAAGCAGGGCCGTGTGTCTCAGACTCGTGGCTGCCGCGATGTAGCGCACGGGATGCGGCAAAGCGGACGTGCTAACACACAGGCGCTATGGCGTGACCAAGCTCGTCGCAGACCGCAGAGTCGGACTGGTCGAATGCAACGCAGGGGGAGGCCGATCGACCGCGCTTGGCATAAGTGATGATGGTAGTTTCGCCTTGAGCGGAGTACCAACGCTCGCGTGTACACACATTCATGCCAAGAAGCGTTGAACACCTTTTTCTTCATTGCCAATGGGCGCGACTCGCGACGCGTCACGTGTCTGAAAGTCGCGAACACGAGGGGGATTGGGTTTGGCGTACGTGTCCGCTATAGGCAAGGTCTAGACATCGAGCAACGCTGCCACAATTGTGATGTCGGCGCA